GTAACAGGTAACAACCATCAGCAAAGTTCTGTGCATGTCAGCATCTTCACCAAATCGCCTCGGCTTGTTCCCAAGAATCAAGAGAGTCAAGTTGCTTTTCCAAAACCCACCCCAGTATCCTGAAAGATGCCACCTTCCCATTAAACAGAGGGAACGGTTGAAATATAATATATTGCCTGCCAATTAAATGGGATCAATAATATTTTTTACAAGGACATCTGCAAGCGGGATCTGAAGGCCTTAGGAATGGACCTCAACGGATGGGAAACCTTGACATCTGAGCATTCAGCCTGGAGGCAGGAGGTGCATCATGGCCTCTCCCAATTTGAAGAGACCCTTGTCCAGCAGGCCGAGTCAAAGAGGCAGTCCCGAAACAAGCAAAACCAGGGAGCTGGACAGGGGACCGATTGTATTTGTCTTCAATGTGGAAGAGATTGTCACTCTCGAATTGGCCTTCTCAGCCACACAAGACACTGTTCCAAGAGCTCCATACAGAGCACGTTACCATAGTCTCTCGAGACTGAAGGCTGCCTACAGATTTAGTTATTTAATTTATATCCCGCCTATCTGGTCGGGTCAGGACCACTCTAGGCGGCTAATTTACTTTTTTCTTTCTAATTTCTTTCTAATTTACTTTGGCCCACTGCAGCTGCCTTTAAGAAATACATGAAAACACCATATATTTTTACCAGCTTTTTTTGGTGATGACCCTCACCAGCCTTTAGATTTCAACTACGTTAAGTCCCCTGCAAGCCACTTCCATTTTTTTTTTCTCTGAGTGCACAGGACTGTTCTAGAATCAACCTCTTAATGCAAGGAACAGCTGATTCACATTACAAGCCCTCTCAAGTAGCACCTGTTAATAAAGACTCTGTTTACAAGCTTGGTCAGTCCCCTGCAAGCCACTTCCATTTCATCTCTGAGTGCACAGGACTGTTCTAGAATCAACCTCTTAATGCAAGGAACAGCTGATTCACATTACAAGCCCTCTCAAGTAGCACCTGTTAATAAAGACTCTATTTACAAGCTTGGTCAGCTTTCATTGTTTCCTTTTAAAGACACTGCTGACCATTTCCAAGGCTTTCCTGCACAGAAACTGAGCTTAAATAATTCAACCCCAGCAAATCTTTCCTACCTTGCATCCAAGTGCAGTAATTCAGCTTTTATATAAGCCCCAAAATTTATACCAAAAACATAAGATACACTAGACTAGAGGAGA